ATAAAATATGGCAAAAAAAAGGGGGGGCATGAATAAGAAGACTCAGAGTAAGTAATATACCGACTAATAAAAGGCTTCTAATAATTCAAAAGAATTTAAGAGTTCCTCATCAATTAAGTCTAATAATAAAACCATCATAAATAGCCTTCTTACAACTTCTGAATTTCTCCTCAAACATCAAATTTAGCAAAGTCAAGTTAGTTAACACACATGGGCTAATGTACTGACTTATGATGTACTCATCTAAGTTACTAACCAAAACCCCGAATTACTGAATTTTATTCTAATCTGCAGTCCAGTTGCAGATCACACAGAAAAGAGTATTTATACCAATTATATTCAAGTACCATAGAAAAATACTATCCAAAAATAAGAGATCCTCTTTATCATGGAGTTGGGGAACAAAGATAATATTCTTTATATTACAATGAATAGTACACCATCAGTGTCTAAAAGCAAGATTTAAAAGCAGTAAGGTCAGATAGATGTTTAAGTAAAATACTAACTAGAGAATCTAGGTGTTGAATACAAGTGTTCACTATAAAATTCTTCCAACTTTTCTGTATGAAAATTTTCATAATATAACAATTTGGAAATATGAAGATCTATTGTATAAACTACATTTCAGGTTAACTGCAGTACTGTCTCTAAAAGCATTAAGCTTTCAAAGTACACAAATTGAGAAAAAAATTACTCGGTCACTCAAGAATATTAATTTTTCCACTACTTTTGAGAGCAAGTATGCACTGATGAATACTAAGCTATTACAACAAAGAGCACTTTTAACATTTTCTCATATTCCAAAGCACTCAAAACTTACTGAGAGCATAAAAATCAGAGACAGATTAAGTACAGACAGGCTAGTAGGTTTCCTCATATTTATAACTAGGTCAAAGCCTAAAATGTAAATCTTTATTCTGAGTTTCTAATGCTTGGTCTACAAACAATATTGCCTTTATGCAAACTACATAAAGCAGTAAGGAGTTTTTCAGCCTTACCCAAGTTAGCCCTCAAGAAAACCCTAAAGCTAAAGAAAAAATTCCAAAGTCTTTGCTGACAGATCCTAACTACCCCAGGACCTATTATATGCCTCATGAAACCTATGATTACTACCCGAAGGAGCCAACACACTTTACCCCAAATGAAGCAGACCCAATCCCATCATCCAATCCAGCATCTCAAGGCACTCCCTGCACCTGCTGCCTAAGTGATCTTATAACTTAAAATGGTCTCAAGAGCTCAAGGCTAGAAAAATTTTAAATTCCCATGAAATCAGTGACAGTATACCTGTTCTGAAGTGCAGCTGAACTACTGTTGCTAATAATTCCACATGACTTAAGATTTGGGGACGATTTGTTTTAAAACTGGTTTTATTACCCATTTTGTCTTCTTCAGAACTGAGGTCGATAGCCTCTTTCTGTCATCTGCGAAGTGAAGAAAAACATGGGGATCTCAAAGCACAGGAAGTAGTCCTCAACTTACAAATAGTTTATGTACCAAAGATTTATCACTCCTTTGAAAACATGTTTTGTACTAATTAATCTATATATACCATAGTGTGTGAAAAATTGCATTCCAAGTATCAACTCAAAACTGCAGCTTTCTGCAAAAAGTCATCTGCTGCCCTTTTACAGCTAACTATGGCCCTAACTCAAGGCTGAGAATTCTCTCTCTACAGCTCTAGGGAGAATCCACTACAACCTGTGCAGGCAAGGAAAAGGGCAGCTCTCCTTACATAGGGAGATTTTACACTGTTTCTGTGGGAAAAGCTACCCTTATTTACTGAGATAGTGGTTATGGAAAAGGCACTTGGTTAATATATTGTAAAACTGTAACAGTTAAAACAAAATCAGTAGAAACTACATTTGGCTCCAGATAAAATTAGGTGCTGTTAAACTAGTTGATCAACCAAAAGTCTGGCAAGTAGAGAGAACATAATCTCAAACTGCTTCCTCATGTCTGATCAACTCAACTGATAAGGGAGGAAATTACTGAAGTGAAGTGACAAGAAAAGCATTACCAAAAATGCTGCTAAGTTCTAAAAATGTGCATTATACTTTAAAAGTCAATAAATATATAATATTCAACATCAAATACCACCCCTTATAACTGGTAAGATTTATTTTTAAAAACCTTGACAACTTAAAAAACAAGTATAACTTTATGACAAGTTATCTTCAACAGCTAACTAGTCTTATACAATTTAAGAATTGTAAATTTATAGGAGTATCTAACAGAAAGTAAATTTTTCACTAAAAATACTTCAGAAAGAAAGCCAGTAACAGAGACATGAAAAAAGGGATCAGGGAAGGCCAGAACAAACTGGTTTGTAGATACAGATCCTGAGAGAAACATTTAAATATTAAAAGTTCATGTCCACTGCTAAATATTAAAATGGTAGTGTGAGAGACTCCCAAGCCAGTATATAACACTAGGATGTTAGACTGCAGATCAAAGTATTGGCACTATTAGCTGCTTTGAAGAAAAACTGCTTTAAAAATCTAAAGTTATAATGAATGACAGGCAATCTACACCTAATCCCTTCTTTAATTTTTTTAAACAGTGGATTATAAGAATGAGAAGCCTAACTACCTGAAATCTTGAAAAGATATGAAAAGTGGGCAAATAGGATTTCTTTGTGTCTCAAACCTAATTCATTAAAGTCACCTGAATTATAGACATTCATTAGGTTTATTTGTTTCCGATAATGGATAGGGACAATTTCTTTATTATAAAGGGCTATTTACTACTGATCAGAATTATTTAACATTATAAACATAAACATTTAATCAGAAATATAAAATGTAAATATTAAAACTATCAGTAAGCAAAACACCTAAATTAAGTAGATACTTAAGACTGAAGAGGTGTATTCTATCTTTAGATCCATGTATGTGTTATAGAATTCAAATGCTATACATTAGCTAAAGAATTTTTCTGAAATGTGTTTTTGTACATAGATAAATAGAAGTAAAACAGGTTTTATGTGAATAAAAAAAAGGGTTATGATCTAACAGTATTTTCTTGAAACCAGGAGAAAAAAATCTTTAATTCTTTGCCAATAACACTTTTCATGATTACAATACTCAATTTTAGTAGTAATCTTTGGATGACTTAATGCAGACTTCTAATCTTCCTTCAAAATAAAGAAAAATGACAAAATCATGTCATCATTCAGCTGTGAATTTTTCTGCAACCCTTACTTAATTTTAGCCTTAATATGTACTTGGCTTTCTGATTGTAAACATGATACTCCCTGAAAATATACAATTGTTGTTACCAGTAATGTTTGGTCAGCCATGCTGTTGTATGCAATCTGAAAAAACATACTTTCTCTTTTCATACTGTTCAGTACAATACTAGCAGTTTTCATTTTCTGGTCCCAATTTCATTTTCATCTAATTTGGTGTTTCAAAGAGAAGCCTAGTTCACAAAGCATCATAATAATTTATTTTCTTTTGTGATTCCAAATAACATAAAAGATGTTTATAATTCTGTAATAAATATATAATAAAGTCTTTTCACAATTTTAAAACTAAAATTAAAAATAAATTTATTTTCTAAACGGTGTTAGGAAAAAAAAATCAATACTTCTAAAATAGAGTTAAAATGTTTCACAAAAGAATGTCAGCAATGAACTGTTAACCTAAATTGAGTTCTCTATAAGTGGGCCCTTTGGTGTTTAATACATGATGCACTACCAATTTTTCTATCCATAATACAACTCCAATCCATTACTCTGATATATGGAAAACTTACCCCACAAAATATGTATCTTTGTCTATGTACTTAGTAACTCTCAAGATGATTTCCTCTCTGTATTTCAAATGACAAATATTCTAAAGTTTAGTTAGGTCAAGGCTGATAGATCAGCAAAATGAATTAAGTTAGTTTAAAAGGCATAGGCTCAGGTACACACGTACACGTACACACACACACACACACTCTCTCTCTCTCTCTCTCTCTCTCTCTCTCTCTCTCAACTCAGATTGGCAAATTTAAAAAAAATTAAAGCAATCTTCCTATCTGGGTAATTCAGACCAGGATAGTCTGTGAATACAGAGCACTAAATTAGTTAGTGCTCTTCATGGGGTAATTTTCTAAAACATTCAGGTCAGTCCCTGATATGTGCAACTTCGGAATTATAATCTAGGGCTCCCTATCACCACGGTAGTTTGTTCTCTTATCCACAAACCTTCCTGCAGAGACCAATAAAAGAAATAATGCAATGCTTTTGGATATTGTGCACAACATACTGAGGGTGACAGTCTGGCTAACAGAGTAACGATTTTGCTCTAAAAAGCAACCGAAGATAACTGTGGAACAGTGAGGTGCTGAGTGCACTTAAGGGCCTTGAAAAAAGCCACTCTTGAAAAAAAAAAAAAACATCTAATGTTAAATAAATAAGAGTCCCTAGCTTTCAGATCACTTTCAGAGATATTATTTCCTTTCCTACACCACCTCATTCACTCTCTTTTTCCCTTCTTGTATAATGAGAGCAAAAAAGAACAACAGTAAAAGCGTAAAACTGCGAGGCTGAGCAGGCAGGACTCCTGCACATCTGGACTCATCTCCAACCGCAACAGGGCTACCCTGGCCGATCCCATCCCAATCAGCAAACACGCGCCCGCAAAAATGAAAGAACGCGATAGCCACGGGCGCAGGGGCGGGGAGTCCGCCACGAGTCGGCCGGCTCCCGGCGTGGCCGTCCGGACTCTGGGACCAGCGGCGGCTGCGAGGGGCTTCGCTCACCCACCCGAGTCTCCACACTCGCCCCGCCGGGGGTCAAGGTCCCACTCCGGGACCCCGACGCCTCGCCTCGGGCTGCTCGGGGGGAACTTCGCCCACGGGCAGGGGGCGCGCCCGCAGCTCCGGGACCCGCGCCCGCCCCAGCCGGGGAGTGCGCGGGGCTCGGCGGCGGCGCGGGGCCAGGTCCGGGGACAGGCGCGGGTCCCGGGTCCCCGCGGGCCGCGGGCTGGGAGGGGCGGCGGGGCACTTACCACGGGTCGAACTCGTGAATGATGCTTTCGAAGCGAATGACGGCGAAGAGGCGCGAGCTGAAGCCGGCCAGCCAGGCCAGGAAAAGGATGGTGAAGGAGAGCAGCGACTGCCAGCCGGCCGGCTGCGACAGACCCCCGGACAGCCCCGCAGGGGCCGGCTTCGGCGGCGCCACGCCGCCCGCCGCCTTGTGCGCGCACTGGGCCCCGGGCCCGTGGTGGCCGTGCCGGCTGTTCCCCTGGGCCATGAGGCCGCTCCACGGGGACGAGTTGAGGGACGACTTGTGCTTGCTCTCCGGGGCCGAGGGCTCCGCCATGTTGTGCCCCGGCGGCGGGTCTCGCTCCTCGCCGCCGCCGCCGCCGCCGCCGCCTGGTGCGAGGGGTGCTGGGCGGGGACCCAGAGGAGCAGGAGGAGGAGGAGGAGGAGGAGGAAGAAAAAGGAGGAGGGAAGAGCCCCGAGTGCTCCCGCCCTCAGCGCCGCGAGGCCGGCGAACAGGGGGTGGAGGCGGCGGCGGAGAGTCTACGCCTCCGCAGCGGCCGCGACCGCCGCTCTCTCAACTCGGATGGCCCTAGCGCCCCACTAGCCATCCGTATCCCCAGTGCAGCTGTGGCAGCGGCGAAAGCCGACGGGACGAGGGCGCCAGAGAAGAAGCAGGAGCGGACGGAGGCAGCACCTCGAATCGTAACAGCAATGACATTCTCCCTCACACCCGCCGAGAGGAACAGGAGGAGGAGCCCCCTGGAGCCCGGGCGGAGCTCAGGCAACCTCTGACTCCGCCCCGAACCCAACAGGAACTGGCTTTTCCACCTGTCACAATGCGACAGGTCCGTTAGGGGGCGGGCCCAGAACCGCGGAGCCCGCCAATGGGGAGGCAAGCTTGGGCGGGGCTTAGCCCAACCGTCCCCCACCCCCTCCCGGTCTCGCGCCCATTCGCCTGGAGCGGCCGTTCAGTGAGGCTACGGTTTCATTGTCAGTTGAAAGACGCGGTTTCGCGCTCCTGTGTCGTCGGCGCAGAAGGGTGCTAGACAACTCAGCTCGTCGTATGGAGCTGAGCCGGGCCGAGGGTCGGAAAGATCAACAACAGTTGAGCGACCTCCATCAAAATCGGCTGAAAGGACACGGAGAGAACTGAGCCCACCGGCCGGGAACTCGCGGGCTTGCGGCGGTCGCGACTTTTAACCCGCTCTGCGCGGAGCGCCCGCCACGTGACCGAGCGCGCAGGCGCGCTACACTAGTTCTCGCCGCGCGTGTTTGGCCGGCAGGGCTTGGCCGCGGGGCGTCCCGCACCCGGAGCAGCTAGTGAGCCACCCGTAGCGACGCCGCGGTCCGCCCCACGGGGTGCGCCCGGCGTCCTGCCTGCGAGATCGCTGGGGAAGACAGTTTGCAGGTGCGGAAAACTTCGGAGCCGCGGACAGCCCCTAGCTCCGCAAAGACCGAGGGGGCAGGCGAAGTGCGACTTTGTCTCGCTTTTTTCACTTCTTACATTTTCCTACTTGCAAAAATAATGTTTGTCCACTGGAAATACGAGCAAATGCAGGAATTTATTTTAACGGCTGCATGCGTTACATCAAACGAATGAAACTGTTCAACTTTCCCTGGACTTTTCAGTTATTACCCAATTCTCTCTTCAGTAAATAACGGACTTAAGATCCCTGTACACGGGTTTTTGCTCGTCTAGGCTGTATATTTACACTTTCCTTTCAAAAAGAAATTGCGACCCGGTAGACTAAACTCAAGGAAAAACAAGTTTTAAACAAAAGTGGAGTTGTAGGAACCCTAGAACTGCCCTGATATGAGCCCCTTCCGTGAAGGGCATAGAGCTTTCAGTGTAATTAACACTCAGTAAATAATTAACTCTTCATATAAATTAACAGTTAATTATCCATTTATTAGGTAAATAACAACTTGACTTAGTATGTATTCACATAATATAACGTTCAGAACATTCAGACACATTTAGAAATTGTGTTTAAATAACAGGTCTTTTCAAAATGTTAGATAAATGAACAGTATATTTCGTTTGAGATTGCTCTTTGATTCTAATGGATACAGCTACTCTTTTAACCTGCTAAGTGATTAACTTTCCTCTCTCCGTTCCTTACAAAATAAATAAATTAATTAATAAATAAATAGTCTCATTAAGGAAAGGATAAAAAAAGGTTTTCAGAAATAGGCTTTTCCCACTAACAATTTAATAGCAGACATTTATTGACTGTTAAAATTTTAATGAGAATTATTACAATAAACTAAGCCCTGTTGTATGAGAAAGGCGACACACTCTTTCTCAGAGGCACAACCATATATGCTAAAATGCCATCATTTAGAATATCTGTGCCTGTGTACCATGAACCAAAGTTCTATCAGCCTAAAATAACATTTATTTTATGTTTTTGTTTCAATTTATTTGACTGTTTCTATTTTATTGTCTTTTATATAGATCTCCCATTAAGTTCTACATTATCCTCTTTTGCTTCCTTTGATTGCTTAATGGCCAGTTCTGGCCTGAAAAGTGATAAAACTTGGTTCTGGTCCCACATTGTTGCTTACTAGCCATGTATTTGACAAGTCACTTTAATGGGTTGACCTTTCTAAAAGTCAGTTGTTAATATCAAATGAGATCGCTTAACTGAAAATACTTTTAAAAATTGTTATGGAACATATACAAATGTGGGGTAATGGTGAGATAAAAGCAGTAGGGAAAACCCCTGTTATTCTTGGTCTTCATTTATTCACTCACTCACTTGTTCATTCAACACGTATTTCCTGAGCTCCTTTATGCCAAGCACTTTGTGGGCACTGGGGTGCAGTAGGGAACCTTGGCACATCAAGACAATGCTCTAACCAACTGAGCTACCTGGCTAGGCACTTCTTGATTCTGCTAAGTACTTATACTATTCTTGCTGAGTTTAAATCTCCGAGGAGTCAGATAGTCAAACATAAACTCTGCATTCTGATGAGCACAGTGGTGGGACATCAGGAGCAAAGCAGATGGTGGGCCTGTGTGTACCTAAGAGACTTCTAAGGAGAGCAGTATTTAAGCTAAAACTCAAGGGATGAGTAGGAGTTTGCCACACACACCAGGAGAGAGATGGGGGGATTCCAAGTAGGAACAAGGAAGTCCTTGGGAGTAATACACCTTATTAGTATTAATGAGAGTGTCTTGGGAGATGAGGCTGAAAGGAAGATAACCATATTATCAAGAATTTGTCTGCCTGGTTATTAGTATTAACCTTTAAGCAGCGGGGAGCCATTGAAACATTTTGAACAATAATAGAATGATTAGAGTTGATTGACGGGAAATACCTTGATGGCAGTATGAAGAATATACTAGAAAAGGTGAGAGTAGAATCAGGGAGACCAGTGAGGAGGCATTTACAAAAGTTTAGGCAAAATCATTGGATGCTAAAACTGGGACATTGGGGCCCAGAGAGGAAGGCATAGATAGGAGAGGTTATCAAGAAGGTGGAATCCAGAAATTGATTGTGGGGGTAAAATAAAATAAGTCAAGGTTAAGATGAGTCTGGAGTTTCTGGATTGGCCATTTGGATGGAGGTAGTGTCACAGAAACAGAAAGTATGATCTATGCTCAGATCAGCTTTGGACATCTCAAGTTTTAAATCTCTTTAGGACATCCAAGAGGAGTTGGCTAAAAGGCACTTTGATAAAGAGATCTGATAAGAGGATAGGGCTTGGGGGAATAAAAATTTGGGACGCCATAGCCATGGATGAAATGTTGGTGGAACCAAATTTAGAGAGAACGAAAGAAGGATTGAGGACAGAACCCTAAGGAACTCCCAAATCAAGAAGCTAAAAATTGTGTCTGTAAGGGAGCCTGCTCTAGAGAGGCCACAGAGATAGGAGAACCAGCAGAGAAGGTGATGTCCCAGCAGCTAAGAAAGAAAAAGTGATGTCAGGCCAGCAGTGACACAGAGTGCAGAATAGTGAAGTGTGACACCACTGAAAAGTGTACCGTGTGTTGGCAACCAGTTCTCCAGTTTCTTTAGCAAGGTCAATTTTAGTGAAGTGGTAGAAAGCAGAAAGCAGTTGAGGAGGGACTGGCAGCAAAGGATGTGCAAGCAGGAAGTGTAAACCGCCCTTTGTGGAAGCCTGGCTCTGACAGCACACAGAGGACCAAACTGGACCAAGAAAAGACAAAATGACTGATCCTCAGACCCTGGCATTTCCCACTAAGGTCAAGAAAATATTTAAGTGTTGATAAGGTGTCTCAGGAATGGCACAGGGCTGAGAGATTCTCTCAGGAACACAAGCAATATGATGCAGACCCTAGTACTGAACATACCACAATAAGAAGCTGCCAGAGTCTGGCATATAATTGGCATTTATAAATATTTGGTAACTAAGGAACTTCTCAACTCTTATCTTGTCCCCTTCTGACAAGCATCGGTCAGAGTACCTGCCTGATGACCTGTAGACCCAGTAGAGGAAAGGGAAGCAGAGAGGGAGAAACTGAGTTACGAACTCGTGAAATCCTGGGCATGCTGCCTAGAAGCAGCATTGAGTGGTGGTTTAGAGCACAAGCTCTGGAGACTGATTACCAGAGATCAAATCCTGACTCTACTAATTCTAAGTCACATGACCTTTGGCAAATTCCTTCACCTCTCTGCCCCTTGGTATCCTCACCTCTAAAGTGTGGATAAGGATTGCACCTTCTTTTTAGGGTTGTAATAAGGGGCAAATGTACTACTACTACTACATGAAAATGACTTAGAACAGTGCCTGGCACAGAGGAGGCATGCGATATGTGTTGTTTTTGACAATGTTACTGGGATTACTTCCATGTCTAGAACAATGACAGAAGGGCTATGAGATTTATCTCCCTGGATATCTTTTTTTTAATCCTCACCTGAGGATATTTTCCCACTGATTTTCAGATAGAGTGGGAGAGAGGGAGAGAGAGAAACATCGATGTGTTGGGGATCGAACCAAAACCGAGTACGTGCCTTTGGAATCAAACCTGCAACTCTGGTCCGCAGGACGGCACTCTGACCGCTGAGCCAAACGGGCCAGGGCAGCCTTCCTGGATATCTTAAGATAATCCTCCCATCTGAATGTTTCTCCATTTCTTTAAACTGGGAAGTGTCTGCCTCAACTCAACCACTACTAAGAATGTTGTTTCAATGAAATATCCACTGGGTAAACTAGCAGGTAGCTAAGGTGGGAAGGAAACCTCAGAGAGAGGGTATGGTAGGCAGCTCCTAAATGGCTCCTAATGATCTTTGATTCCTGGTATTCATACCCTGTGAATCCCCTCCACTTGTGTGTGGGCTGGATCTAGTGACTTATTTCAAACAAATAGAATACAGCAAGTGTGATGGAATGTCACTTCTAAAATTAGGTAATAAAAATGTGTCTCTCCTCTTCTGTCCTCTTCTCCCTCTGCTCTCCTATTCTTCTCTGTCTTTCTCAGCTCTCACTCTGAGAAAAGCAAACAATCATTGTAAGTAGCCCCATAAAGAGGCCCTGTGACATTATTGTCTCTGGCCAGCAGCCTGTAAGGACCTGGGGCCTGCCAACAGCCACAAGACTGAGTTTAGGAGCAGATCCTTTCATAGTCTAGCCTTGGAATGACTGCAGACCCAGGTGACACCTTGATTACTTTCTAGTGAGACACCCTGAGCCAGAGGACTCGGCTAAACTGGACCCCGATTCCTAACCCAGGATGTGTG